CCCGAGCGTAGCGAGGGACCTCTGGCAACCCGATGTCCACGTACTACGTCTACACACTCACAAACGTTAAGCGGAACGTCATGTATGTGGGTGTCACCAACGACCTGGGGAAACGCGTCGCCGAACATCGCTCCGGAATGGGTGGCGCGTTCACAAGACAGTACCGGGTTCACACCTTGGTCTACGCCGAAGAACATCAACAGATCGAAGATGCGATCGTTCGAGAGAAGCAGATCAAGGGATGGCGACGATCGAAGAAGGACGCCCTGGTCGAAACGGCCAATCCGACTTGGGCCGATTTGCTCGATCCCAACACCGCAAAAGGTCCCTCGCTACGCTCGGGATGACAATTTTGGTTTGATCAATGACGTGCGCAAACGTCTCTTGCGGATGCGCCCCTGTAGCAACAACACAATTGTCATCCCGAGCGTAGCGAGGGACCTTTGCTCTAACGCTTCAGCACCTCGTCCGTATGCTCTCCCAACAGCGGCTCGCGATAGAGCGGGCTCGACGGTTCGTCCTTGAAGCGGACGACGGGGCCGAAGTGGAGGCGGCCGTCGTCATCCGTCACCATGAAGCCGCGCTTCTGCAGGTTGGCGTCGGCGATGGCTTCGGGGAGCGTGTTGACCGGGCCGTAGCAGATATCGAGCGTTGCCAGATAGTCCATCCAGTGTGCCAAGGACTTGGCGCGGAAGGTCTCGGCGAGGAAGTCCATCACCGGCTTCTGGTGCGCGCCGGGCCATTCGCAGAGGCTGGCCATCTCCGGTTTGCCGAGCGCCCCAGCAGGTTCTTGATGAACTTCATCTCCTGGCCGGCGATCACGAGCTGGCGGCCGTCGGACGTGTCGTAGACGCGATAGAAAGCAGAGCCGCCGGTCGTTCGTTGCTGCTTCACGTCGGGCGCCTTGTTCTCGGCGAAGGTCGTGCCGACCACGTTGGCGCAGGAGGCCATCAGCGATTCGTGCATCGAGACGTCGATGTAGTCGCCGCGGCCAGTGTCCTTGCGGCGCAGCAGCGCCATCAGCACGCCGGCCAGACCA